ATATATATATATATATATATATATATATATATATATATATATATAATAATTTGTACCTTCAATTAGTTCTTATAATACTTTTTTTTATTTTGAATTAATCCCTCTAAAATATATTTGATAAAAGCTAAAAGACGATAATCAACATAATACAAAGACAAAACAAAAAGAAACACATGTTTAGAGAAACAAATATAAAAAAAAAAGACTAAAATAAACAACAAAATATAGTGACTCATACAAATTTGCCCATATTTTTGAAGAAAAACATAAATAATTATGTAAATACTTTGATAATTTGATTTTTAATTACTTTATTTATAAATTACTTTTTAATTATTATTAATGTTTAGTGAAATAAATAAATATTATAGTTATTCATGTTCAGTGAGTCAATAATTTTTATTGTACTGTAACCAATATATAAAAATAAGTTAGGAGAACAAAATATATTTAAATGGGACAATTCATTCCACTTCTTAAATTTTTTTTTACTCAAAAAACAAATTAAATTAAATTGATTGATTTTAAAATTAACTTAGGCTAACTCACTTCATAGCCATCAGTGAGTGAGTAGAAATATATGCTTATTTGACAATAACTCACATATATTTAAGTAGCTTATGTAAAAAAATATAAAATTAAAATTGCTACAAATAGTTTTATGATGATATTGGATTGATACTTAAAACATTCATTTTAATAATTTTTGTATCTACTTCCATCATAAATTTTATTAAATAATGTTACAAAGTCTTTAAACCGATTTTGGTGAGAAAAACGTCCTTGTCAATATTTAATAACATAAAAAAAAATACCCATGAACGGAAATCAGTCACATCTCGTTGTACATAACTATCCTATTTCTACATCAAACAAGTGTCGGCATTTAATTATGAATTTGCAACAATTATTATTCCTTTGTACTTAAAGAAATCAATAATTTCATAAAATATATTATTGAGATATGTCTTCTTTATATATTTTCCCTTCTATAACACTCGTATAATTGTTTAATTGTTCCTTTATTTCCATATATTTGCGCGTATACTAAATTTACACACGTAGCTGATGATAAATTGGCAAAGCAGCATTCTGAATAGACACGTTGTCCTTTTTCCTTTTTTTTAAATAAAAAATATTATTAGGATATTCAGATTTCCTCTTCCGCAAGGAAACATAGGAACTTGGTTATATTATTTAAGTAAGTCGATTTCGAATTCCGTAAGCTTAATATCCGATAGAGTTTTGTAGGTACTAATATCATTGCAAGAAATATCATTGCAAGAAATAAACAATTTTTAAAAAATAACATATTTTCAAAAATTGGTGTATTTATTTATTCATTCATCGTTCTCCATCCCACAATCTAAATAACTACAACTAAGAATCCGTATACATACACGAACCCCTTTTGATTTCTATTCACATCATCACTAATTCAACAATAGATCGATAAACCAAGATCAAAATCAAACATAGAGGTTCATATATAATATATATATCAATGCATATGGTACAACAACCAAAACCTACGACATGTCGAAAGTCATCAAATCGTATTGAAGTTGTTGTTGGTTGAATGGCTCCATGAAGGATCTCGAGAGAAATTCATTATACTCAGGTCTGATCATGAAGTTGGTGCCGTCATCCACCCTCCATTGTTGAGGCTGACTTTGACGAGTTTTATGGTGAACCAGTCTCTCAAAGTGTTCATTTTCGTCTTCCATGGGCATGGAAGTTTCAGCAAGATTGGAGTATTGGCCAGTGAGTTCTTGCACGAGTGCCCTAAAATTAGAGGCACTAGTCTTCACCTTCACGGGGCTCGAAATATAAGTGACTTTGATCTCCTTTTTGTCCCTTCTACTTGCCCTTTTGTTCTTCATGGTCCAATTGGGGGTGTCAATGTGCTACTACGTACTAGACACAACACAAACAAGAACAAAACGAAAAAGTGGAGATGTGTGTTTATAATGTCTCTATGGTTCACAACACACAGCATTCGTTGAATATAAAATGAACAAGTTGATGAAGCCTTTTTATAGAGGATGTTGGTCAAGGAGGGAGCTTCCAGGAAAGAGGCTAAGGTTTGAAAAAGTTGGATGATGATTTTGACTATTGAAATCATGAAAGGAATAGTTTGGCATCAATTTTTATTATTAGTTTTTTAGTTTTTTTGTTTTAAATGCATAGATCTTTCATCCTTTCTTTTGTCTCCATCCGTACTCTAAAGAGAGATATTTTATTTTTTTATTTTATAAATCTACTTTTTCTTTTATCTAACCATGAATATTTTATGAACGAAGTTAAATTAAAATATAAAAGGGAACGTAAATATCATCTTATATATTATTTTTTGAAAGATTAATTTGATTTAAATTAAATTTCTTAATGTAGTATTAAAATTAAATTACATGTGAATTTTATAGAATTGAATTAATATTAAAACTTACTTTTTAAAGTTTAGAAAATTTTAATATTGTTTTACATTAAGATTAAGATTCTAATTATATTTTTGTAAGATATGATTAAGATTTGTATGAATTGATATTAATATTTTGGGGACATTGATTGATCTAGAGGATGAGATCTTGGGATGCTTACGTGACCCGCAAGTGCTGTGTGTATACCGAGACTTGTGACACCACTTTCTTAACGTTTGTTTAATGATTATTGTTCTTGTTCAATGAATGATTCTCGCACGTGCGCAGCCTTGTAAGACTGGGATTCAGATAAACTTCGGTGTGGAAACCCTAGAAACTAAGTGACGTTTGCTTGTTTTATTTTTCCTTTTGCTGAGATCAGATTTTAAGAAAGGAAACTCTGTTTTTAAATTTCTATGGAATTTACTAATGATAGAAAAGAAAACATCAAATATCATCAACCTTGTCAATTTGTGGGCTCGTTGGAAAAGTTTAATTTTAGATACCGCCATTTATAGATTATTCCATATTATTTAATGTCTCTCTGTTTATAAATAGGATCATTAACATTATTTTTAATCCTTTTCTGTAACACACTTTATAGTGTGAACTTCAATTTATTAAAATTATTACACTTTTTAGTTTCATTTTTAATTTTGGAACATTATATTTTTATAGTTTTTAATAAATGTTAACACATACTATCTCCTATGTATGAACGAAATAGAAACATTCTTTTGGGGATTATTTTTAATGATTTTAAAGCCAAGTTTAGAAAATTTTCTTCATCTCGTGTGTTATAATCTATCATCCCTTTTTTTATATTTAGTTTCAAATTTATTATTTTTAAGTCTTAAATGTTTTATTAGTCCTATAATACTTTTATTTATTTTTTTTTTTTATAACTACAATTTTTTTTTAAGGCCTCAACCATATCGTCCCTTTTTTTAATCCCACTATTTTTATTTTATTCATTTCATCACCCTTTTCATTATTTCAATTCCTCTTCCTCTTTTTAGTCGCAAATGGTCGGCAAAATTGATTTTAATTCAATCGTCCTCAAATCAACGAAAGTATTTTTATGTTCAAAAGATAGGACTTTTAAGTTTTTATATACAATTGATGTCAAGTTATTCTTAAAACTAAATTAGGAACTATTCTTTTTTTTTTCATTCTAGAAACATGTTCTGGATAAAGAGAGAGCTTTGTGAAGTATGCATAAATATCAGGATAGCTTGGAGAAGAAGGACAAGAAAATTCTGGTAAGTTTATAATTTTTATTTTCTCAAGACATGCATATCATAAAAAAGTATAGTAAGTTATTTTATTAGACAAAGAAAGAAGAACATCACATATTTTATACGCATACACCAGTCTCCATTGTCGAAGAAATTCAAAGATTTGTCCATTAAGGATAAAAAAGGATGTTCATATTCTATTTTTATAAACTAATATATATCAAATCTTTTGTTTTTATCAAAAGTTAAGCTTTTTTTTAGAAGTTCTTCATGAATGATATATTTTTTCTTTATTTGTTTGAGTGTAAGTTGGATAGTTATTACGCTAAAAATAAGTAATTTATTGATAATTATAAAAATTCATTAATAAATCAAAATTATTAAAAGTGAAAAATCTTGTTAGTAAAAAATCCTTGTTGATATTAATGATTGATAATTGTCGTAATTATTTGTTGAACAAAATTAGTAATTAATAATTAGTAAATATTTGTTAATAATTATCTATTAATAAATATTTGTTAAAAATTATCGACATATTTTTATTATTCGTAATTATATTTTAGTAAATAACATAAGATTATATTTTTCTTATCTTCTTTGTCTTCTCTTTTATTTTTTGTCTTATTATTTTTCATCTTTTTTCTCCTTTTCTCCTCTTTGGTTGTTTCATTTGGTAAGAATATTATAATTTATATCCTTAAGATTCACACTATTAACAAATAAATAAATCAACACAAGGATACGCACAAGAATATAACATGAAAACCCCAAAATTGGAGAAAAAATCACAATTATTGTCTAAAGACAACCAGAGAATAACACTATGAGAAAATTTATGCAACACATAGATCATTCTCTCATGCCCTTTGACCCAGTACACTCATACTCTCTAACGCGAAATTTAATCAAACCCAAACCTCAAAACACTCTATTACAACTATAAAAAAAGTCAAATACAAGCTTAAAGTGTTTTTGACTTGGGACAAAAAATACCATAGATTTAGACTCCATTATATAACTACTATCACTCACTCCCTTACTTATATATTAAGAATATTATTTTCATCAGCCCAACAAGTTTCTCCTCCTCCATCGTTGTTGTCGTCTTCTATGTCATTGTCATGGTTGTCTCTCCAACTGTTATCCTTTTTCTGTCTCATCTTCCTTCTCCTCCTCTTTCTTTTTTTACTTTTTTTTCTCACAACATATATGTTGTTGGATTTGGCAAGAAAATTTATGTCTATTTTATCAATGGAATCATTGACGAATTTAAAAAAACACAATTACCAATAAATTTGTCGATTTAGTAACAAAATTTGTTATGACATAATTAAAGTTCAAACAAAAACTTTGCGCTATTTTAACTACATAATTTACCGAAAAAATATATATGTCGATGGTAAAAATTATAAATTATCAACAAATCCGTTATTAATGGATATTTTTATCGGTAATAAAAAATTTAAATTACCTACGAATTTTATTATGAATAAATTTTATCAACAAATTTATTATTAACAAATATTTTAGTTTGTAATAAAAAATATAAATTAATGACAGATTTTACGGAAGAATCTATTGAGGAGGAGATATATTTTCTTTGATAATAGAAAATATAACAAATATTGATAAAATTTGCCGATAAATTTTATTTAATTGACAATGTTTATCTATCATTAAAAAAATTTCGGTAATATGATAATTTCTTTTAGTGTTGTAGACATAACACCGAATAAATATTTTTCTGCAAATGATATATTTACTTTATCTATCAATCAATAAATAAATATTTAAATACGGTTTTTTATTTTCATTGATTTTATTCAATTCAATCTTAATAATTTTTTTTTTTTTAATTTTGTTTCAATTTTCATCATTTTGTTTTATATTTGTTTGATTTTCTAATTTATTTAAGAATAATTAATAAACAATATGTAACTTTTTTTTCTATTTTTTTTGTTATTTAAGAAAAATGTTCACATATAACCAACATCATACAACATGTTTAGGGGAAGGGCACTGAAATTTGTCATTAGAATGTTTTACTAGTATTGCATTTCATCATCTTTATATTTTTTATTTGATTTTTCTTCAATTTAGTCCTCAATTCAATTTTTTTAATAGAATAAGTTTTTTTTTAATAAATTTAAAATCAAATTAAATTATATATAAATGTTATTTTATATTTTTATTAAAAATTACTTTTTTTTACCCTATTTTTTTGTTTATTCCTACCGTTGATTTAACATTAAAACACAATTTTAAAAATGAAGACTAAACACTATTGATTTAAAATCTTTGAGATGGTAAAAAACATTTAAAGTGTTATTTAGTCAGCTTTTTAACCCTCTTACGGCATTTTAAAAAATCGCATGTGATTTTTAAACCTTTTAAAAATTTTAACCAATTATGTTACTTCCTCACTTTTAAGATTTTCATTATAATTTTAAACTAATATAATCCTAAATTAAAAATATTTAAAATTAAACTTTTAATTTTAATAAAAATATCATCATAACATTCTATACAAATACCATTTTTTTTTTCAATTCCCTTTAAAATCAACACCACCCTTCTCTCACTTCTCTCCTCCTACTCTTTAAACCAATCCATAATTCATTTAATCCAACTACTTTATCTTCTCTTATCCAAATTACTATCTCAACCCCTTTTCCATTTCTCCCCTTCTCTCTCTTTCTCCATTCCCCTTTTTCTAAATTAAAAAAAGTTAAAAATTAAAAAAAAAAACGAAAATTAATGAACTAAGTCAGATAATAGAAAGGTCTACTATTAGTTAATTATTTAAACCACATTAAAAAGATCAATAAAATAAAATAATAAAATTGAAACTGTAATGTGTAGAAAATTGACCGAACGGTTATTTAATACGAGTTTCTTAGGGGGCCCCCCTTTTATCAACCTTTTCACATTTTTTTTTTTTCCTTTTGTCCCTCTCATTCTAATAAAATTACTCAAATGGTAATTTGGCCATGCACTTAGTTGTTATTTGGGCCATAATAGGTCTAGTGGATGATAAAATAATTAAAGATATCCTGGTTAAGATATTTGATAAACCAAATCTCATAATATTTGGTTGAAGATCATTGATAAAGCCGTTTTTGGGTACCCAACCTGTCTCCAGGTAGGTTGTTTTTTTTTTTTTTTATTTGATCTATTAAACACATTATAATACATTTAGGCAGGGCCAAAAGTCAGGTACATTCCACTTAACGCTACTACTTAACAACTTGATTCCTCTCGGCAATACTCTCAAATACTCAAACAATTATTAACCATTCACTAAGTATTGTCGTTAGAGCTCAAGCTCTTCAACAACACGCCTAACCTTGACGTCAGAGTGCCTTTTGGCAGGTACATTCCCCTCTTCAAGAACGAGAACAATCGGTTCACGCCAATACCGATCGGGCAACAGCAGGAGATTGAAGG